GTATTTTATTTAGGATTTTTGCATCAATATTCATGAGAGATATTGGCCTATAGTTTTCTATTTTGGTGCTGTCTTTTCCTGGCTTTGGTATCAAAGATATCAGCTTCTGCTTTGTGTTTTCTCTTTCTGTTAGCCCTTATTGTCCCTTTCTGCCTCCTGAGCTTTGTCCCTGAGGCCATGCTGCCCTTTGGATCTTGTATGGTTGGTTGGTCTAAGAAGCACATTCCTCTCTGGTGATGCTGGTCATTGTATAGACCTGTCTGTAGTTTGTCTGAACATTGGGTCATGGGAGTGATTACAGTTCCAGAGTTGTTGGGTGACTTCAGGCCATAGTCTTGGGGTTTTCACCAGTCTCCCTCAGATCAGTAAGCTGGATCTTTTTGATTCTGAATTTTGCTCCACTGTACTTAATCTTTTTCTTAATAAGTTTTGCTGTAAGAGCAAGTTACTTTTATTGAACAGAGAGCTTCTTTAGATGGCCTAGTTTTAATTGTTTATACATGTTAAAAAAGAAATTGATGATAGCTGTTGTTTTTTTAATAATTTTTTTCTTTTTATTTGTGTGTGTACTCTCAAATTGGATCTGACTGGTGCAGGAGGAGATTGTCCCTCCTTTTCCAGCAGAGCGTCTGGTGGATTTGAACCGCATACCTCTGGGATTTCAGTGCAGCTTTTTGCCATTAGGCACCAGAGCTCCCTGATAGCTTTTTACCACTTCAAAAAATGCCATCTTTTGCTTTTGACTGTATTTGTTTCCTTTGATTGACTTGCTAATAATAATAATAATACTCTAATATAGATAGGAATTTTTACTGTGTACTCCGTGATTACTAGACTTTGTTTTTCTTTTTCTCATAGGGGTCCTTTGTTCTCCAATGTTGCTGTCAACATTCAGTCATTTCTCCTTGTTTCACATGGCAGCAAATATGTATGTTTTGTGGAGCTTCTCTTCCAGCATAGTCAACATTCTCGGTCAGGAACAGTTCATGGCAGTGTACCTCTCAGCAGGTAATTGGGCTTGAATGGAGGCTTTTCAGCATATGAGCCTCCCAGGGACACTGGGGGTTTAGTGCTTAGTGCATTACCCTGCTAACTAGGATACAAGTCCGCTCACCTGTGGGTGTAAAGGGAGTGGTGGTCTCCACCACAGCATGTGTTCAGTGTATGTTTTTCTGTAGCACAGCATGTGCTCAGTATATACATGTTTCTCAGCTTACAGAGAGAGAAAAGTACATTTTCCGCCCTCAGTTCCTCTTACATGGGTTAAGTGTGCCTAGTTTTAAGTTTATTGGGATAGACAGGTTAGGGGTTAGTGTGGACTTTAAGCATGCCTTTATATCTCATTTGGCCTTGGTTTCTTAGTTCAGCCCTGCCATTTTCTTGGTTAGTAGTCCCAGACTACCCAGCTGTCTCAGGCATCTAGTCTTCATTAAGAAACTTTAAGCAAACTTACCTTACCCCAGGGTGTTGACTTTCCAGGAAGATTTAACACAAAGCTAGTCAGACACATTGTTAATTGTTAGGAAGTTTATTCTGTTCTTTTTTGGAAGGCTGACACAGAACCACTTCTTCATCTTGGTCTAGGAGATGGATTGTTTTTAAATTTCTAATAGGTTGCACAGGTACCTGGATTTACAGGAATTACAGGTACCTGGATGCTACCAAATTGGTCAGTGGGCCAATTTTCACTTATGTTAAGTAATCAAAAGATCCTTTGAGTAAAAAGATACATAGAAAATGTATTTTAATATAAAAGGAAAACATTAGGTACCTTTATGAATCATCCTGGTTCAGCTAATCTGAACCAAGTTACTAAAAGCAAAAAAAAAAAAAATGTATTCGGGGGTGGGGGTGGCGGGCTCTGGTGGCCTAGTGGCAAGAAGCTGCGCTGCAGTTCCAGAGGCTCATGGTTCGAATCCACCAGATGCTCTGCCTGGGAAGGAGGGACAATTTCCTCCTGTACCAGTCAGATCCGATTTGATGGTACACACACACAAAAATAATAAAATAAAAAAAATTATTTCTGAAGTCTCTGGATTTAAAAATGGCTTATCTGGCATGTAAATTGTAAGCTTAGTGATGGCACACCTAGTTTCAAGACCTGTTTCTCCTACCAGCTGTATGATGTTACAGAAGAATTAAACCTCTGAGGTAATGATACTTGACCATCTCACGGAAAAAACCCTCAAACTCATTGCCATTGAGTTGAAAGTGCCAGTGTGTTTGCTGAGGCTGTAAATCGCATGAGAGGAGATTGCCCGTCTTTATTCCTGAGGGGCAGGTGGTGGAGGTGCCATCTTTGGGCCAGTAGCACAACTAGCTGTGGACTGTGCCTGCAGGGCTCCTTCTTATAAATAGAGATTATAGAAAACATCGTATAAAGCATGGGTCACAAACCCAGGGTATTTGTTTACAGTTTGTTCCTCAGATGTAGAAGCTGAACATGAGTTTCACCTTTACGTTTCACCTTTGAAGGCAGTAGAGAATTCTTTGCCAAGGGCTAGTTAGGTTGTTGTGAGTACAAAGTGCACATTCTCAGGGGCATTAATTCTTCAGCATAGTAAGTTATTTTTAAAATGAATATTTGGGGAGGAGTCCAGTTGAAATGGCATCAGAGCTAAGGGACCTGTAAAGGTTGTTTGGTTCACTTCTCATGCGTTTGGCCATGCAGCAGCCATCTGAGGCTGGATGGAGTATAGCTTCCTAGGCCCACCAGAAACTCCCGTTGAGTGTGTGTAGAATGTAGCCCAGAACACTGGAGATAGCTCATGAGTTTGGGAACAGATGTCCTTTCTTCATGCTATAGATAACAGGTAAACGAATGACACAGTCAAGTGAATGACAGTCACCCAGCGTGATGTGTGGTGTGTCCCACTTTCCCCTCTAGATGAAATTCCTGATATGCTAGGATAAAGATGCCTGCGCTGTCACTGTTAACCTTGGCAGGGGTAGAAGATCTGAAATGGAGACATTTATTATTGTTCCTTACTTTATTAACATGTGCCCTTTTTTTTCAGGTGTTATATCTAATTTTGTCAGTTATGTTTGTAAAGTTGCCACAGGAAGATACGGGCCATCACTTGGTGCAGTAAGTATATCTAGTTTAAAATTTTTCATTTCTTTAAAAACCTTTTTGTAATTTAGGTGAAACTTAGCAGAGCAAGTTGATTCATACACGTTTTTTATTTTAGATTAATTTTGAAATTATTTTGTATTTATAAAGAAAGGTGCACACTTCATGTAAAATTCCTGTATGCCCTTTAGCTAACTTTTCCATTTACCTAACATCTAGAAGCACACTAAAGTGATCAAACCAGGAGATTAACACTGAAACAGTCATATGCATCTACTTTAGGAAATGGACATTTGTAAAAGTTTATAAATTCAGGCTATGGCTTTCAAAAAAATTAAATATGTTAAAAGGTTCAGAGAAAAGGGAATAGGTCTGGGGATGGACTGGGAGTACGCGAATAAACCACACAAGGCTTACATGTGAAGCAGTAAGCCAGTTTATTTTCACCTTGGTGTAAGCAGGCTGAGCTCTCAAAATTAAAATAAGCAGCTCTTGCTGTTAGTGGGGGTTTACATACAGAGATTGTTGGTGGGTCCGGCAGATCACATGTAGTCTTGGTTGCGCAGTAAGTCTCTGTTGGCACCTTTTTCTTATCTTGCAAATGTAGTCTGAGGACCCCTCTCTCTCTGTGGTATTCCTGAAACATCCTTCCGCTCCCACTTCAGCTTTCTACTAATAGTTAAGTAGACTGGAACTAGGGTGAGGGCCGTGCCTGAGAAGTAGAAATTCTAGCGACAATGAGGACATTTTATTTTACCTGTTACATATTATAAGAAATATAAGCTAAAAATATGGGAAGAATCAATTATTTTATATTCTTGCAAATATCTTTGAGGTTTAATTAATAGAAGACAACTAGATTCTCTTACCTGTTTCTATATTCAACCTGTTGCAGTTTATTGTTTGGATATGAAAAAAATCTGTCCTTACATAGCAGGTTGTGTCTTTTAGCAGTTGGTCACTTGTGCATATCCTTGCTGGAACAGGGTACATATAGCAAAAGGGTTAAGTCAGAACAGTGACTTTGCAGTCCCATAAACCAGAGCCACGCCTGACATTGGAAAGTCCCAATCATGAAACTGAGTCTGGCTCTGTATCCTCCTGCCTAGTCAGTATTGGAGCATCAGCTGTCTGCCTGGCACTGTGCGCGGAACTAGCATTGCAACCAGTGAGCAAGTTGGTCAGTTTTCTACCCTCAGAAGCTTATGTTCTGGATGTTTTAGAAGAAAAGAGAGAGAAAAATCCCACCACTTTGTTTTGAGTTTAATGGCAGATTTCTGCTTGTAAAAATCTGTATTTACTGGTTTAGGGCTGTTGTACATTCGGTCACTATGAGTCGCAAGCGACTCGACGGCATATAACAACAACATTCAACTTACATATCTTTAATTACTAAAGTGCTTAATTGCATTCAAATAGAGGATTTCATACTTAAACTCTAAGAAGGTTCATTATGGGGAAAAAAGACCTATGTAAGTGCTTGACTGCTAACTAAAAGTCCACACTGTGAACCCACCAGCAAGTCTTTGGGAGAAAAAAACCTGGAGATGTGCTCCCGTACAAATGACAGCCTGGGAAGCCCAGGGCAGGACTCTGACCTGTGAGGTTGCTTAGAGTAGGCTTGGTGGCCTGCAACAGTTTTTCTAAGGTGGCCTCCGTGTTATCCTATCACCTACATGTTTTCTTGACTGAAACTCTTTCTTTATAGAAAGTGTTTTCTCTGTGAAACTTGGTGCTGGTACAATTTAGATATGTTTCAAAATCCCATTTTCTTTGTCACATTCAGCAGTTAAGCACCTGTTACACAAAGGCAGTGATCACTGGGGTGAATTGGAAGTGGACTCTGCCTTCATGTTGGGTGGGAGAAAACACCGTCCACACCGCTAACACACACTGAGAGATCTTTGAGGACAGGGAGACCATTCATTTGCAGAGGGGATCTGAGAAGGATTTTGATGTGTCCTGGAACATCTGTTCCTCCTGTTTCATAGGTCGGAAACCAAAGTCCACATTGAGTAGAGCATGGCTGTAGGGTACTTAGAATCATACAGGGTATTAATCCCACTTTTGCCACTGTGTTGTGATTTTCAAGACATATTATTCAACTTTTCACCTGGTGGTATGCATAGGAATCAGATCGATTACATCTGTGGAAAAAAACCGCTGGAGAAGCTCAGTATCAGCTGTGAAAACAAGGCCAGGAGCTGATTGTGGAACAGACCACCAACTGCTCATATGCAAGTTCAAGCTGAAGCTGAGAAAAATTAAACCGAATCCACAGGAGCCAAAATATGATTTTAATTTCATACCACCTGAATTTCAGAATCATCTCAGGGACAGGTTTGAGGCCTTGAACACTAATGAGCGAAGACCGGATGAGTTGTGGGAGGATGTTAAATGTATCATCCAGGAAGAGTGCAGGCAGTCTCAAAGACAGAAGAGGAAGAAAAGACCAAAATGGATGTCAGAAGAAACTCTGAAGATTGCACTGGAACGTAGGGAAGCCAAAGCACAAGGAAGAATCCAAGACACTAAAGAGCTGAACAGAAGATTCCAAAAGGCAGCACGGAATGACAAAGCAAAATACTACA